CGGTACATGATCATCTCCAGTTTGGCCACATAATGTTGTAGATTACTTCTCTGCATGGTGATCTCAGCATAATAGATACAAATGGATAAGTATAAAAAAATACTATATAAGAGAGTTACACCAAAAAGATACACATTATTTATACTTTCTGTTGTGCAAGTGATGGACATAATATTATTTTAAAGGAACACTGAAATATTATTTTAAAGAAACATGTATTCCTGACTAAAAAAAGAACTAGAAAACGTACCTTATTTTCCACTGGCTCTGCCCACGATCCACCTCCTTGGCTGACATATAGGAAAGCCTTGGATTGGCTGAGATTGCCAAGTTTTCATGGGTAGAACCAAACCCCACCCTAGTCAATCAGCCTCTCCTCATAGAGGTGCATTGAATCATCTCTATGGGGAAAGTTCAGCGCCTCCATGCCGAATGTGGAGATGCTGAATATCAGTGCTGCACACTGTACAGCACTGACCCAGGAAGCACCTCTAGTGGCCACTCCTGTTCCTAGGCTGTAATGTAAACACTGCCTTTACAGCAAAAAGCCTGCAGGGACTAACTATATTCACTAGAACAACTACATTAAGCTGTAGTTGTTCTGGTGACAACAGTGCCCCTGGTACATATAGAGAACCTATAAAAAAGGATACAATAATATATGCTATAATTCCTAAAAGAGTATCGGAAACCTGTGAAAAATATACAGATAGATCAAAAATATAAAACAATAAATAGAAATATATGAATATATTTTAATGCACTAACCAAAGCCAAATGTACAGAAATGGTTCTCACAAATATTCACAGTAATTAATAAATGGACATACAGAAGACATAAAAATATACAAATATATATACATGTACATAAATATAGAACACATAAAAAAGATATTTTTAAATTCATTAGTATAAAAGAAAAAACCATAATACAAAGATTATTGCATGAATGATGATGGCTGTGAATTTCAAATCCAGTTATTGGAAAATAGATTCATAAAGAGAGGTTATCCTAGAGGATTTATCAATGAAACTAAACAAAATGCTTAAGCTTAAAGGAGAAGAAAGAACAAAAAAGATAATAGGGAGTTTGTAACCCAAGTGGTCAAATATCTGAATAACAGCAGCAGAGAAGGTTGGATGCAGGTGAAGGAACTCAAAAAGGAACAGAAACAGAAACAGGTCCAAGTCTAGCAGAATCAGAAAGTCAGAAACATACTCAACAGATTTACCAAGCTCTGGCTGGAGTGTGCTTTGTTGTTTTTTTATTGGTTAAGTAAGGCCAAAAGGCAATTGGACACCCGGATTCCAGATGTGATGGCTTCTTTTTTCGATGCATGTATATGATCAATTCAGGAGTTGCACCACAACAGGCACTTAATATTAAAGGCACCTTAACAGAGGGAAGCTGAAACGTAGTGTCAACGTGAGCACAATGCAGACAAATAACTACATGCTTGAGCTCCATGAGAATACTGCCAGTAAAACCTGACCAGGCAGTAATTAAATTATATGCTGAGCTCTTCAATGAAAATAGGCAGATAGGCTGAAAAATCTGAAAACTTTACCTACAGACAAGTGAGAATAAATGTCCTCAGACGGACAACTCAATGACAATAAACGACAGTTTTTTTTTGTGTTCCAGGCTGAACGTATACCATGCTCTGGTATTTGATATCACTGTCTTTTTTTAGCTTTGTCTCATCTATAGCGTGTGTTTCTGAATTTGGTTTGCCTATTCACAATAAAAATAATAACAAATATTTTTTAAAAACTCAAGCCATGATCTTTTGGTATGTGTCAGTTTTACTCCATTTTACTCCATTTGGTGTATGTATGTGTATTACGTAGTTTGTAGATGAATTAAGTATGAATAGGTGGACCATGGCTACATTGACACAAAAAAAATTTGGTTTGCCTATTCACAATAAAAATAATAACAAATATTTTTTAAAAACTCAAGCCATGATCTTTTGGTATGTGTCAGTTTTACTCCATTTTACTCCATTTGGTGTATGTATGTGTATTACGTAGTTTGTAGATGAATTAAGTATGAATAGGTGGACCATGGCTACATTGACACAAAAAAAATTTGGTTTGCCTATTCACAATAAAAATAATAACAAATATTTTTTAAAAACTCAAGCCATGATCTTTTGGTATGTGTCAGTTTTACTCCATTTTACTCCATTTGGTGTATGTATGTGTATTACGTAGTTTGTAGATGAATTAAGTATGAATAGGTGGACCATGGCTACATTGACACAATTAAAAATAATCCATTATAGGAGTCTATTAAAAACTAGACATTGAGATTTGTTTTGTTCCGAGCTACAATTCATCCAAATTTGGGCCAATCACTTGATTGGCTGGAATTCACATTTTAGAACTGCCAAGTGCCAGAATCACGGATCAAATGACTCACAAAATGCAAACATGTTTGTTTAGATTCGTGATTCAGAGTTCCATTCCTGATGCAAGAAAAATGGGGGATGGAATGGTGAAGAGGCCGTAGGGGCAACAAAGCAGCTTTGCCATGAAGGTTTGCTATAAAGTTCAAGAGGTCTGACCAATAATGTATCTCCTGTCCAGTCAGAAGGTGGAAATTCAAAGATGATTTGATAGTAGGTGACAGCCAAGAAATGTTGATTTTATTCACAAATCAGTTGAAAACTTACCAATACATGGAAAAACAATACAGGATTCATCTAGACACTTGAACTACAGCCATTTAGTGAGGCAGACCAGCACTTGTAATGTGTTTACCCCTGCAATGCCTTTGTGGGGATGGGAGAAAGCCTGGGTCATTGATCCTAGTGTGAGACTAAGTTTAGCTTACTACTGCATCTACTAGATACTACTTGTGGCACAGAGGGGCTGGAGAAGAAGAAAAAGAGACACAGAGAGGCTAGGAGGAGATAGACGGACTGGGGGTGAAAGAGAAACACACAAAAGAGCTAGAGTAAAAGACACAAAGGGGCTGGGAGAGATGGAGACACACAAAGGGTCTGGGGGAAGTAAGACGCATAAAGGGGGGTTGTGAGAGATACACAAGGGAGGTGTAAGACACGCAATGGGGAAAATAGGGCATAAGAGGATAAGATATGCTAAAGGGTGTAAGACATTTTAAAAAGAGGATAAGAAACAAAAGGCAGATGAAGATGCTTTTTCTGGGGGGGATGGGGAGGCGCCAAAATCATCTTTGCCCGTGTATCCAAAAATCCTTGCACCGGCCCTGACTGTAGGCATTATACTTTCTTCATCTCACTGAACTGGCTATAGTACCTTGAGTCCCCTGGTGCTGTCTTTTCATTCAGTGTAAAACCATTTTCAATGGTTCTTTTTGTTTTAATACTTAAGAAGAGTCGGCAGCAGCCCCAACCCTCTGTGCTGCTTTGGGTTATGAGAAAATGTTAGCTTGAGCAGCAATAGGCAACTGTGATTGCCTGAGATTGACAGCTGACTGCTTATAGCCTATCGGATCTCCTACTGCTGGCGGGAATAAGTATAACTACAAGGAAGTTGCCAGCAAAGTGTATATTCTCTGCCTTAGCCACACTTCCAGCTGGGCTGTGGTTTGCCAGGAACCCATATTTATTGCTAAACTGCTTGAAAC